TTCAGGGAGCACTGAACGGCCCCTGTGTCTCATAGTTATCTCCCAAATTGCGCTTCAGAGTTGCCTATTCCAATTGCAGATTCTGTGACTCACAGATTCTGTGAATTCAGGATTGGTTTAAAAGCAGGAAAGCAGAGAGCACTGTCCTGAAGCAGGAGGAACAAAGATGGTGGCGTCTGCTTGCTGGGCTGTGCAGAGGACGGCACGGAGGGCAGGTACAGGCTGGCTACAGCAGAATCTCTCCCTTCTTCTAATTTCCCAGGCTAAACCAGACTCGGCAGTGGAAGCTGCTCAAGTTCTGCTTGTACCGATGGCTCTGTCCTGTCTTCTTAGGTTTGGTCCATAATTTCTCCCAGAATGACCAGAGCTGCAGTAGATGATGGTGACTTCTGCTGTGGGCCCCGTTTCTGAGTGTGTAAGGAAGTGCCCCAAACTTAGCAGCATGAAGAAGCAAAGGTGTCAGAATGCGCGTGGAGCTGGAGGGGCAGGAGCCGAGGGCAGGCGTGGTGGGAGCTGCTCTGCTCTCTGCAGCAGGGCTGAGACCTCCCACAGCAGGGGCACCTCAGGCTGCTTGGGCCGCTTCTTCTCCAGGTTCCCAGGACAGAACCTGGGAAAGGGCTCTTACAGACAGCCTTGGCAGGCTTTAGGGATCACAGTAAAACTGCAAGGCTGGCCAGAGATGTAGCCCCAGGAAGCCCCACGAACTCCAAGAAGCACCTAGACAGAAAAGACCCCAGCCAACAAAAAATGAACCCAGAAGCAAAAAAATCCACTCATGCCGATAAAACTCATCTCAGCTCAGAATGATCAATTTTCTGGACAAATAAGCAAGCAAATACAAGGAAGAAATCTAAAAATCACCCAGAGATTGCATCTATAACTTTTAAAAGAACAATGTTAAAAATTATAGTTGGCTTCTCAACAGAAATCATGCAAGTCAGAAGGCAGTGGGAAATCACATTTAAATCACGGAGTGAAAGGGCTGACGTACAACTTTATATTCTGTAAAAGTATTCTTAAAAACTAGAATCGAAGTAAAGGTGCTTCTGGGCAATCAAAAAGAAGCAAACTCATCACTAGGAAATCGATACTAAAGGAATATAGAAGGACAGACAGGGCCCGGATCCCGAAGGACCCACAGGAATCCAGGAAGGCACAGAGTGAAGTCAGGGCGGACAGAGGTTAACACGGATGTGTACCAGACACGTGGAGCAATCACCGCACAGCAGCTACAGGTGCAAGAATTACAGTGCTGGACAATGACAGGAGGCAGCCAAAGCCTTCTAAGTTCCCTGTGATTTTCATGAGGTGCTAGAAGTACTCTTTCTTTTTTTGTAGTATTTTATACTACAAAATACTTTCTTATTTTATAGTATTTTCATGGAGTTTACAGGTGCAGTTTAGATAGACATAAAGATCACATTTGTCATAGGGTATTTGTTCTTATATATGACATGTCTTGATTCCCCCCCCACCCCCTCATTTCCCTTCAACCCCTCTACCTCATTTGCAAGACTTTATTTACATTTTATCCATCTTTTATAATTTTTTTCTTTTCCCTCTCCCTTTCCTAGTTCCCCTTTCTTTTGAACTCTTTCTTCCTATTTCACAATACCTATTATACACTTTGGTCCTTATTTACACTTCCAGTTTCTCATATAGAGAAACAATTTGAAATGTTTACACATGTGGGGTTGATTTATTTCACTTAAGAGTATGGTCTCAAGTTGCATCCATTTACCTAGAAATGTTTCAAGCAGATCCTATTTATGGCTGTGTAGTACTCTATTGTATTAAAAAGTACATTTTTTAAAATTTTTATTTTGAAGGTAGTAAAATACAACAGAACAAGGCATAATAAAGCCAACTGAGACAGTGTAATGAAATTAGTACAGAACTTCACAGCAGGTTACCAGGATAACAATAATAGGTATCACAGTATATCTCGTTATCTTCACAATAGTTGTTCTTCCAATCACATATAGCAAAATAAAATGAAATACAGAACATTATAGAACTTATCAAAGCAGAATATTGAATAGAGAAGTACCATTAATCAGAATAAAGCAAAACAGTAATAAAAATATTTGTCCTCAAAGAGATGGTAGAAGGAAATACCCCTTATTTGCTATGGTCAACCTCCCAAAAGATGCTCAGATCTCTGGTTCCCATTTGCTAAAGAGGGGCCGGGAAAGGGGGGGTTAGAAGAAGTGGGATGTTTGACTCTTAGTCCGTGTACCAGTAGGCTCACTATTGCTTAGCAGAGAGGCAGGCTGCTTGCTTGGTTTCCAGTGTCCTAAGATCCAATTTATGGTGTGGATCTCAGGAGACACTGGTGGTTCTCCCCCTGGCAGGGCTGCAGCCTGCCACACCACAGCCACTTACCAGGAAGGGGAGCTGCTTGCTTGGTTTCCCAGTGTCGTAAGTTCCTACATGGAGTGGATCTCAGGAGATGCTGGTGGTTCTCCCCTTAGAGGGGCCGTAGCCCACATCTTTTTTATGTATTCCACAGTTGATGGGCACTGAGGTTGTTTCCATGATTTAGCTATTGCAAACTGTGCTACTCTAAACATGTATGCACATATATCACTGTGGTATGATGTTTTTGATTCTTCCAGGAAGATACCCAGAAGGGTAATAGTTGAGTCAAATGGGACCTCTAATCCAGATTTTTGATGAACCTTCATAGTGATTTCCACAGTGGTTGTACCAGTCTGCACTGCCATTAACAGCGTAGAATTGTTCCTTTTTTCCCTGCAGGCCTTGTCTAGTATCACGTCTACTATCCCCACTCTTATTTAATATAGTTCTGAATACATTAGCCAGAGCAATCAGACAAGAGAAGTAATAAGGATAAGAAAGGAAGTTATATTATCATAATTTGCAGTGATGTGATATTCTACATAGAAGACCCCAAAACTCCATCAAAATACTTGCAGATTTAATAACTGAATTTTAATAGCATAGTGGGATACAATGTCAACACTCAAAATTCAACAACATTTCTGCACTCAAAAAGCAAACACACTGAGAGAGAAATTAAGGATACAATACCTTTCACTATAGCATCAAAAAAAAAATGAAATACTTAGGAATCATTTTAACAAAGAAAGTAAATGATCTGTATGTTGAAACTTATACTTTCTTAAAAGGAAGTTGAAAAGGATATCAGAAAATGGAAAGATATCCCTTGCTCATGGATAGGAAGACCTAGCACAGTGAAAATGGCCATAGTTCCAAAGCTGTTATGTAGATTTAATGCAATCCAAATCAAAATACCATTAGCACACCTCGTAGAATGAGGGAAAACATTCCTAAAATTCATTCATTTGGAACCAGAGAGACCTGGAAGAGCAAAAACAATCCCAGGCAACAAAGGCAAGGCAGGGGCATCACAATCCCTGACTCAGAATTACATTACAGAGCTACTGTGGTTCAAAAGAGCACAGTGCTGGCAAACAAAACAAAACAACAACCCGACAGACCTAAGGATCAGTGGGACAGATTGGAAGATGCAGAAACAACTCTAAACCCACTCAGCCACCTTGGTGTTCACAAAGAGGTCAAACATGTTCGCTGGAAGAAAGATGGCCTCTTTAATAAATGGTGCTAGAGGGGCTGGGGATTTAGCTCAGCGGCATAAGTGCCTGCCTTGCAAGCAGGCAGTCGTGAATTCAATCCCTGGTACCGATAAAAAGGGAAAAGACCAAAAAAAAAAAAAAAATGGTGCTAGAAAACCTGGCTCTGCACATGCCAAAGACTAAAATCAGACCCATGCCTCTTACCATGCACTAAACTAAAATCAAATGGATCAAAGATCTAAATATCAAAATAGAAACACTTTATATGCTGGGAAATAGAATGGGTAGGACTCCTAAAGACATAGATATAGGTAAAGGTTTCATGAACAAAACTCTTATTGAATGGGAAATAGCACAAAGAATCAACAGCTGGGATCTCAGCATATTAAAAAGATTTACACAGCAAGAGAAATCACCAGAAGAGTGAGAAGACAATCCATAAAGTAGGAAATAATTTTACCCAGCTTCCCTTCACACAAACGACTAATATCTAGAAAATACAAAGAGTTGGGGAGAAAGAGACTCCCAAATTTAAAGATCCAGTCCAAAAATGGCAATCTGAGAGGAATACACACTTCTCAGAAGATGAAATACAAATGGCCAATAAATATATAAAACATGTTGACCTCACTGGTCATTCCAAGATGCAAATCAAAACAGCGCTGAGATTCTATCTCCCTCTAGAAAGATTGGCTAATGTCAGGAAGTCAACTCAAAGTACTTAAGCTGTATTAAATCAGGGTTGTGTGTCACTAAAAGAACAATAAATTAGTAACTGAGAAATTTCAAGACATAGAATATAAATATAGGATTTGTCCAAACAGAGTGAAGAAACAACAGAAAGAAAATAAATTAGGTTGGCAGGTATTGTGAAGATAACAGAAGCATTATGGTAGCCATTGTTGATTTTAAGTTACCTTGTTTTGAAGTCCTGTGTCACTTTCATTGTTTTGTTTTGATTAGTTTTATTTCATTACATTTTGTTTGGTTTTATTCTGTTTAAAATTTTTTTTAAAATAGGAAAAAGAATCAAAGAATTTCTGTTGGTGAAACCACAGAAAATCAGTAGGTATGAATCAGAGAATCAAGCATTCTTTTTTTTTTGTCTTTTTCATTTTTATTGGTACCAGGGATTGAACTCATGACCGCACACTTGCAAGGCAGGTGCTTATGTCCCTGAGCTAAATCCCCAGCCCCAAGTATTCTTTTAATAAACCACGGATGGACAGAAGCTGTGGCTCTTTCTGCGATTTCTCCTTGATTCCGTGAAACTCTAGATTCTGCCCAGACTGAGCAGGTCTGCTGAGAACAGAGCTGAAGAGCTGTCTCTGAAATGCCTCTCTGCAGGTGCTGAGAGGTGGCTCATGAGATCATATTGGCCATCTCTGTTGCCAGGAGGCAAGAGGCCAGGTGGTGAGGACCCTGGGCACACTGTGTCCTGCACCCTCTCACTCCCTCTTGGTCTCTTTCCCATCAAAGACGATGGCTGGGGAAATGTGAAAGAGAAATTCTAGCCAGGAGAGTCCTGGTACTACCCTTCAGCTGCTGGATCAAGTTCACCGGGCTTGGTCAACAAATTAGATGGGAAGCTTTAACCCACAGCCCACCTGTCTCCCACCAGGGTGGATGGACTGTATCTGCAAAGTCAGCTTGGCTACTGCCAAAAAGGAAAATGCTCAAACTCCCCGTGGCAGGTAGGGCTCCACCCCAGTGGGTTGTTCATTTGAAGCAATCAGAGCTGAGCTGTCTTAGCGCTGAATCCCAAGATCAGGGTCCAATACTCCTGGCTGTGACCCTTTGGTCTCCTTTTTCAGAGGACTATAATTTTCAGGGCATGGCCTTGCCTACCTGCCCTTGTCTGTGTTTCCTGACAGACCTGAGCCACAGTCTCAGAGCCTGGTTTCTGGGTTAATTAGGAGTAGGGCAGGAAGTTTCTACAGCTGGAGGCTAGAGAATCAGATTATTGTCAGCCAGGCTTATTAGCTGCCATGGCAGGGAGAACCCGAGACATTCTGGAAGCCTCTGAGCCGGAACACTGCCTGCTGCAGGCAGGGCACTGTCCTTTTCCACGCCTCTGCCTCTGCGCAGCGGGACAGCTTCCTTCCCTAGGCTCTGTGCCCTCACCACCTTCAACACATGGTTTCACTTAATTCTCATCGTAATCCTGAAAGGAAACACGGTCCTTACTGCCACTGTACAGATGAGGATGGTAGCCCCCCAAAGGATTCATTAGTGTAGTATCTGTCTCAAGTGAGTGGCTGAGCTGGGCTTGGGTACAGACGACCTCACTGTGTAGCCCCTCTGCCTGGGGCATCGACTTGGCTGTAGGGGTCCCTGATGCCCCTTGGCTGACTTTGTCTTGGAAGCCCAGCCTCAGGTAGGCGTCTGTCTACCCAGAAAGAAGGAAAGCTCTGGCCTCCTCTTGGTGCTTACGGTTTCCTGGCTGACCTGTGCACTGACCCTGCCCTCGCTTCCATGCACACAGTCTCCCTCCTCTGCAGTGCTGGCTTCAAACAGCTCAGCCACTTTCCTTGGGCACCTGCTGCCCAGCTCAGCCACCTCTCCTGACTTTCAGAACCTGGTGCTGTCAATGCCCCCTGCAGAATCTTTGGCTCTCCTGGTCCCAGCGGCTTCTGCCCCGCAATACACCCCCGCAGCATGTCCCATGTGGATGCCTGGATACTATTCCCTTGCAGCAGCATTTGACAAGCCCCTGGAGCTTGTCACACCATATTCCAGGCCACCCCACATGGACAGCTGGAATTAGGAGCTTCTACTGCAAATTTTTTCATTATGACATAACTTTTCCCACTGCATTATTAATTTTAAATAAAATGCCTAGACCTTGCAGGGAAGGCCACTGCAAATGAAAACTCTCATGGGACAGAAGAACGAGAAGCATAGATTTCCCTCCATGACCCTGCATCACTTCCTTGCATTAAGCTTAATCACTTTGGGCAAATGCCCAAGAAGAACAAGGGGAGGCTTTGAGGTGATGCTGTGTACCACAAAGTCCAAAGGGTAACAGAGAATGTGATGTCCTTCTCAGGGCTGGTAGGGAGCTGTCACAAAAGGGAAATGAGGGTGTCACACTAGGCTCTCTGGACCCCATCTCCATTCTTGGCCCTGAGAATGTACCTACGTCTTATTGCTTTAAATGGAGATATTGCTGCTAACATCCAGAAATAATCTTGGGGGTCCCTAGAAACTCTGTTATGGACTGTAATATCTGGTGAAGAATTTGGTTACTGTCTGATCCATACCATTAAAAAACTTATATCCTTTGAGATTCTTGTTTGCAAACCACAGAAACCAAGGCTGGCTACTTAGCAAAAAAGTTTATTCGAAGAAAGGGCAGGTTCTTAGAATCAGTGAAAGCTTGAAGGACCTGACCTAGAAAATGGGCCAAAATGAAAGGACTCCATGTCTGGGAGGAAACCTGTGTCTTAAGGGAGGAAACACAATGTCTCATGGGATGAAATACAGTGTCATATGGGAGGAAATGCAGTGTCATATAAAACAATATATTGAAAGAACAATTATTATAAAGATAACGAAATATACTGTGATACCTATTACTGTTATCCCGGGAACCTGCTGTGAAGTTCTGTACCAATTTCACTGTAAGATCTTAGTTGCTTTAGTCTGTCTTGTTCTGTTGTATTTTACCACTTTCAAAATAAAATTTTAGAAAACACACAATATATTATGGGCGGAAACCCAGTGCCTTATGGGATGAAATGCAGTGTCATATGGGAGGAACCCTGTGTCTTATGGGAAGAGATCCATATTTTAAGATAGGGGAAATGTCTGTCTTCACTCTACTACTACTGCTGTGATGAGTCTCCCTCTCCCTTTGTCTCTATGGGCCCTTGGCCACATGACAGTTTTTTAGCTGTGCCAAAGGACCTAACAGGAATAAACACCTACCCTGGAAGAGAAGAACTTTCTCCACATGAAACCCATCAGAAGAGGACTTCCACCCCAAAGGCAAATGGGGACCGGGCTGACTGACTACTGGACAGCCAGGAACAGAGTGAGCGTCTGCCCTGATGGTATGTGACAGTGAGGTGTGCTCACCAGGCTGTGCCCCAAGTAAGTGCCCCGTGGTAGCCACGGTGCACCTGAGCTGTAAGTCAAGTGGACTTAGGGGAAACCTGGCCCTGCCAATCTGTAGCTGAGGAAACTGGCGGGGCACTTTTATCTTGGATTCTCTGAGACAGTCCTTCTCTTACATTAAGGAATTAAGGGAATGACCCAGGCACACAGTAGGGTTTACTAATTTATTTTTCTCTAAAGGAAGACTTGCCCCCTTTTTTGCACCTTAAACAGTTTACAGCCTGGCAAAAGCTTAGAGAAAGTCTTTGAAATGTGGAAACGGAGTAATTGGCAGCCTGCAGCTTAAGTCTGTCCCACAGACAGGAATCTCAGGGCAGGTCAGGGAGGGACAACTTTCACAGTGCTTGTGGGAAATGAGGAAGTGACCCTCCCTCCCTAATTGGGTGTCTCTCCTGTACCTTGGGAAAGCCCCAACCTCTGCCCTCTTGGACTCCTATGTAAGATGCTGGAAAAGCTCTGAGTTTTGCAAGTACCTTTGCTGAGAATTAATACTATTAATACTATGAAAAGGAGCAAGTTTTGTAATTTTTTTCATGCTGAGTTATCAGGAAAGATACCTTGACACTAAACTGCTCAGGCATCTACAAAATGCCTTTAGAACTTCAGATAGACGGCTCCATGGCACGTTCTTCCTGTAGTTTTGCAGGACCATGAGGTTGCTTTATTTTATTTCCAGTGCAGTACAGGTGAGCACTGAGTCGGGTAGCAAATGAAACCAAGGTCTGCTCCCCAGTCACGCTTCCTTATGCAGACCCCCCGTGTGGCTGCTTGAATTTCTTTTCTGTTGTTGCTGTATTTTTGTTTTGGCTTTTGTTTTTCTAGTAGAAAGATTCTTCTGATTTAAGCGCTTCTTTTGGTAAATTTTAGGATCTCATTTTTCAATTTTAGTTTTATTAGTATATGTTTGCAGTATACAAGGGTCACGTTCTTGGTGGGGATTGGCTCGTATACACGGCCCATCTTAGTTCTTTTTCTTCCCCTTCCCTTTTCCTTGCCCTAAAGATCTCCCTCCCTGTTTCTTATGGCCTCTCTTCTATGTTTTACATTTATTTTATGTATATCTTTATGATACATATGACACAGTCATCATAGGGCATTTGTCCCGTATAAAACGCATCTTAATTCTTCTTCCCCGTTTCCCTGCCCTTCCTTCAATTCTTCTTCCCTTCCTTATTTTCAAAAGTTCTGTTTTCTACTTTTTCCGTTCAATTTATCTTTTTTAAAAAAACCTTTTTACTTTTTTTGTTCTTTAATTTTTACCCTGAGTTTCTAATATAAAAGCAACTCTGTAATATTTAAGGTTGTGTGTGTGATTTATCTCACTTAACATTATGGTCCCCAGATATGCAAATGATTTCAGTTCCTCATTCTTTGTGGCAAACTAGTTCTCCGCTGTGTGTAAATCCACATTTTCTTTATCCATTCATTTGAAGATGGACACAGAGGCCTGTTCCAGGATTTAATTATTGGGAATTGTGCTGCTATAAACGTAAGTGTGCACTGTCACTGTAATATGAGAACTTTAATCTGATTTTCCTTGTCTCCTTTTTGTTCATTTTTATTTCCTCCATCTTATCTCACTTTCTCTCTCTATGACTTTAAAATAGTAACAGGTTGGTAAGGGACATCAGGAATGTTCAAGTAGGACAAAAGATGTGACTTCTTGTCAATTTTCTCCACAAGTAGATGTGCAAAACCCTGCTCACGAGCAAGCTGCTTGCAATGAAGAGGAACCCAGAGCAGCCTGAATGCCCGGCACAGAGGATCAACCGCATAAACTGTGCTCTGTTTCTGCATTAAACACCCAACTATATAGTAGGCAATTAAATGAGGAAAAAAATTAATGATGTGGAAACTTGCTTGAAACATACTATAGGTAAAATAAAGCTTGAAACAACTGTAACCACCTGCACAGGACACACAGACACAAAAAGAAGCCACACAGGGGAGGCAACATACCAACTGCGTGGATTTTACCCCCAATTATACGCGACCTTTTTTCCTTTTTGTATATCTGCATCTGTTATTTCTGACACAGATCTACAAAAAGAATGGCTCGTATTTAACAGCAAGAAGAATTAAAACAGTAAGTTACTAAACATAGAGAAAAGCATATGATGTTAATTTCAACTTTCAGACATTCATCAGATTTTAAAAGTATTATTCACTGATAGATAAAATGTCCAAGTCATCAGAGCAAGGGGTAAATGGAGGATTTATGAATCTAAATGCATTCTCCCCTTGTACTTCCAGCTCTAACATCTCCATCTCTAACAGTAACATTTGCCAATGGTGCCAGTACACTTGCGGTTCTTCTCATTTGAGGTCAGCTTCAATTACAAGCTTAACCTGATCGACCTGTGTAAGCAACGTTCACATATGTGCACATCACCGCGATCACTGGTAGCTACTAGCCCAAAACAATTTATCAAATATACTATATTTTTTTTCACCATTGTCTTGGTCACTTTCTTGTCACTGGCACATCATACCTGATACCCAATGATTCAGGAAGGAGAGGGCCATTGGGTTCATGGTTTTAGTCCATGGTCAGCTGCCTCCAAGACAGGAAGCACAGTGGAAGAGCCTGGCAGTGGAGGAGAGCTGCTCCCTGCATGGTGACCAGGAAGCAGGGAGAGAAGGGAGAAGCCAGGGAGGAGAGGAACCCTGGCAGGCTACGCCCACCGATGGCCTCTTCCCACCAGATTCTACCTCCTCACAGCAAGTTAGATCCATGGCACCTGTTACCCAGTCACCTTCCACAAGCTGGGTCCCCTGAGCACTTGAGGAGTTGGGGCCACCTGGGTGGAAACCACAGTGTCCAACAAGTTAGGTTCTCCAGGTCCAAAGTACTAACTCAGTGCTTCCTCTAGGGAGTCCTCTCCTCTCATGGTTCCACACTGGTGACTTGTTCCAGGCAAGAGCGTGGCCTCGAGTCTTCACCCCCAAATCAGAGCTCCTCTGACATTTAAGAGGCTGATGAAGCAAAGGGCTCTTGTTCTGGATTCCAGGCTTGAATGTTGGTTCCCTCTCTGCCTTATCTATTGTGTGGCCTCAGACCAGTTAGTGAACCTCTATGTATCACTGTGTTCATCTATAATAAGAGGGGAGAGGTAGCACTCAGTTCATGGGTTGTTAAAGGAGACTGAGTCAGTGCACCTGGCTCAAGGCAGGTGCTCTGTGGCTTCCTCCCCCACAGCTGGTCTGAAGGGCTGCCCTCAAAAGGCACCCTGTTCCTTAGGTGCTTTCCCAAGCCACCTCAGACTCAGCATAGTGACAACTTCCAGCTGCTGTGAACTCCTGCACCACCCCACCATGCTGTGTCCATTCCTGGAGTTCACCCATGCCTCTGTAAATTGTCTCTTCTTTAGATGGTTCTTCATCGGTACCTTCTGAGTGAGCCTAGGGCTTCCTGCCCAGCCCCTGACACAGCTGACATTATTAATATATGTGTCCTTTTGTTCCTAGCAGGACTGTAGTCAGAAGAGATTTCAAGCACAAAGATGATCATTTTACTGAGCACGCAAGGCACCAGATAACTCTCAGATGCTTCTGAATTATAAACGCCCAGGTTTGAAAAATCATGGGAGAATCGCAGTGGTGAAGCGTGCAGCATGGAATTTTTAGTTCCTGTGTTATTTGTGGACTGGGTATTTGCTGCCTAGAAATCATACTAAGCTTTGGAGTCTTTGAAAGCTTTTCCTCTGCCTGTACCTCTTCTCTGTCCAAAGCGTGGAAGAAAAATGCCTGGTTGTGATCTTGACTCAGTTTTTCCTAGGCTATTTTTGTGATCCAGTATTCATTCATTTATTTCATCAAATATAAATCAAGGGGTGGCTCTGTGCCAGGGGAGCCCTCCATGAGAGAAGAAATAGTAAGCAGAATGCAGAAGAAGCTATAGCCCTCATGGAACTGAACTTTCTAATGAGGGAAAGGAAAAATTAATTTTCTAACTATATGCACACAAAGTAAAAGTGCTGTGAAAGATACTACAAAAGGATGTACAGGACATGAGGACAGAGTTGAGAGAGAGAGAGAGAGAGAGAGAGAGAGAGAGAGAGAGAGAGATCATCTAGAGATCCCAGAATGGTCTTCTAGGATAGTGAGAGATTTGAAACCTGAAGAATGAGAAAGAATCAGACAGGGAGAGAAATTCAGCACAGGAGAGAGCCTGTGTCAAGGCCCTGTGGTGAGTGGGAATGTGAAGGAAGGGTAGAGAGGGAGACACAAAGGAACTATTCCATGCGCTGTGGGAAACTAAAGATAAGATGTACCTCAGAGGCTGAGTCCCACTGTTTGTTTTCTTTCTAAGAACAACGCAAAACTGCAGGGCACTGACTCAGACTACTTCAAAGCCCAGAGGTGTCTAGGGACCCCTGAGGCTGTGACCCCACTAGTGCAGTGCGGGTGCACAGTGGGATGCAGTTCTGTGGTTGTGACTGAGCGTGGGTGCTGGTGACCATGGAAGAATGTAAACGTGAGCTGACTCCCCGTGTAAAAATCACGCAGTAAAGGCGTGGGTGGCGCCTTCTCCTGCTCTGGTGCTCTACTCCCTCCGTGCTGACTCCTGTTGTTGCACACGTGCGTCCTTTAACCTGGGACCCTCACCTGGGAAATCTCCCCCGGGACAGAGGATTTTTAACAGGGAATAACCTGAGTTTGAATTTTTAAAACAATCATTTTGTCTCCATAGCTGCTTCTTAGACTTCAGGATTCCAGACAGGAGGGAAAAAGTAGAAAAAGCTTAGAGAAAATTCGCATGTTTCTTTGCAGGTGATTAGCTGAAACTGAATTAATTCCTCCTAATCAAAAAATTCTTCTCAAGGCCTCCACAGTGACAGGTAATTTCAAGATGTGATGGTTATACGTGTCTGTTTCTAATCAATCCGTGGTACTACATTTCAGCCAGTCAACACTGCTACATATTTTTGTAACTTTCCAGTAATTTTCATGTCACAGCTGTCACTGGACTCCCTGCTGGACTCAAATGCACATAACTAATTAATCAATCAATCAAGAAGAAGAGAAAATCAGGCCTGATGCTACGCTGAGAATCTCTGCTTGCTAATTCTCAGTGGCTGGCTCAGAGTGGACTGAGAAAGAGGAGGCCTTGTTAATAGGAGACCGAGTTGGCTTTTAAAGATAATTCCTGAGTCGCACAGTCATGTCATTTAGCTATTCGGCGTGTGTGCACTCGGTTACCTAGCTGGTTATCCACATTACGGCAGGAAGCGGGAAAGCGAATCTGTGGCTGGGACCCCCACTGTGTGCTGCTGCCCGATGTGGAGGGAGAAGGTGGCCAGGAGAAAGTACGGCAGGTACCATGGGAGGTGGATCTGGGTCAGGGTTAGGTCTGCCTCTGGGAGCCAGTGAGGCCACTGATCCACACGGCCACGTCACCCCACGGAGGGAGGAAATAGTGTTTCTCTTCACTTCTCCTTATTTCTTCTTCTATGAAAAGGAAAAGTTCCATCAAGGGAAGCATGGCAGTCAGTTCTCCACTGCTGAGACAAAGCTCTGAGATATCCATGGTGCAAAGGCACAAGGTTTCTGTGGCTCGGGGTTTCAGAGGTGTCAGTCCAGGGACATTGGCACAACAGGGGAGGAAGTAACACACAGAGGGCTGTTCACCCATGGCAGCTGGGAAGCGAACGGGGAGGAGCAAAAGGCTGGACACCCCAGTGACTGAGCCCCTTCCAGCAGCCCCTTCTTAAAGAGTCCACATCTTTCCAGCAGCACCAGACCCGTGGAGCCCTGAACAACATGGGCTCCAGGGCCGTTTCAGACCCGAGCTATGGCAGGAAGCCAGCCATGAGTTCAGGTGTGCAGGGACTCAGGTGGGCTCTATGTCTGAGTCTGGGCCCACAGAATGCTGACCAGCAGCTGACCGTGCCACTTAAAGCAGGCCACTTTGTCTCTTTCACAATCAGGAGCAATGGCAAAGGACGCGTCCTGTTCCTTGATGAGACCTGTGTTTGCTGCTGTGACAGACAAACCCAGCACCTCAGTGGCTCCTCAGGGGATCTGGGGCTCAGCAGGGCTGTGCCCGAGGGCTGCCCTCACCTACCTGAGGTTCTGCATCCTGGAACACATGGCTCGGAGCTGCGGCAGCGAAAGAAGAGCAGATGGAGGCAGCATAGCAGAACTCATGGGACCTGCCCAGGGGTCGCATGCACCCCAGCACACACTACTGGTCCTCCTCCATGGGGCACAACCAGACAAGCGGCCCCAGCCTGAGTTCCAAGATGCCTGAGAAAGGCAAAAGGACACATGGAACAGTGCCACATGCCAGGTCCAGTCAACTCCCAGGGAAATACATGGGTGCCTCTTGGAAAGAACCCAGCCCAAATCCAGTAGGGGGAATGTGGGGTGTGTAGCTGTAGAACACGGTGGTAAATTACCCACTATTTTCCTCTCTTCGATGTCTGTGAAACCAAGTTAGCCAGGAAGAGCTGTACAATTGGTGTAGATTAATAGAAAAGGACATTGGAAAGTCTCTGGACGGTATCAGCTAGACTCCCAGAAATGTGTCATACAGTAGCTACATGGGAATTAGGGGGAGTTCCTGACCTGGTGTCCACAGACAACCTGGGGAAAATCACTACGTGTTTCCTGGGGGACCCAACCCACTCTTCTGACTGTTCCCAAATCTGTGAATGCTCGGGTGGCAGTTACCACTGCACAGCTAGGAGTGTCCAGAACCCAAAGGAAATAGCGGGGTGCATCTCCCTGGGTCCTCCTTCTGGCCCTGGTCTTTGGTGCTCTGATCACTCATTTCCTGGGTGCTCCCTGCCCACCACCTCTGCCCACCTCGCACTGTTGCCCAGCA